AAATTGCAGCCTGAGGAGGCAAGAAGCCACAGAATGTGTTTGCTATTCAGTGAGAGCGTGCTGCCCCACAGGATGTGTTTGCTATTCAGTGAGTGTGCTGTTCCTTGCTCAGCCAGCAGTCTTGTAGGGGCTTTAAAAGCAGTTGAAAAAAATGTGAGAGTGAGCAAAGGGCAAAGAGTTTAAACCCACATAATCAAGAGATGGGGGGGATCAAGGAGCTGATAGTTAAGTCAGGGAAAACCTGAGTGGGTAACCATGAGGGACATGAGGAAAAAAATGTAAGAATCTAGGTTTCTTCACTTGTCCTGTACAAACTGGGGCTCCTGGTGAGTGCAGGGCAGCATGGCTGTGGCTTTGTGTGCCTGAACCACTCATGAAAACCTTCCCATGCCACAGCATCACCCGCCTCAGACATGGCCCCAACGCTGTTCATCCAGGATCTCCCCTGGCACACAGCATTGCCAGGCTCCTCACTGGTCTGTTTAAAGCACTGATAGTCCACAGTAATCTGTGCCTTGTGGGCAGCACACTGCTGAGGAGGTGACCCTACCTGGCCAACTGCTTCTTCCTGCTGGAGCAGCCAGGGGACACCAACTTCTGCTCCTCTTGCAGCTGCATTTTCAAGTCAGCCTAAAGGCTAAGTACTGTCCACAGGCAATATGTCTCTCTGTCTCAAAATTAATAAGCATATAATTTAGACCTAATTTTCACAGACTTCTCCATAGCAGCCTTATCCCCAGATGACAGGAGCCTTGCTGTAATAACAGCATTTGTGTGAATTACTGAATAAACATTTCCATTTACTGTTTCTTAACAGCACACAGTCATTAATACATACAAACATTGAAAAAAGAGACCGATTTAGTTTACAGAAGATTATGTGTGTTTAGGTGTTTAAATATCCTTGCATAACAAATTTGAGATAAAGCACCATGGGGAGAAAGATGAAAAGCTTTGAGTGTCTAAACAGACTTCTGTGCCACCTGCTCCTTCATTGCTGTAAGTGGTTATGTAGTTTTATTTATTTGGAATATTATTTGCCTAATATTTTTTGTTATCATTAAAATGATAGAAAAATACTTTCTGTAAGAATTCTGAGTACCTTCTACATATACAAAGTGTAAATTCATAATATGAGTACTACATTTTTTGTTGCTGCAGATTGCCATTACAATGCTTTCAGCTCCTCCTACATTCACAACTATGAGAGGAATACTGATGGCCAATCCCCAAATATAAACCCTCCTTCATCAATTCAATAATGGAACAAAGCATGGCCTTTCCCTGAACTGCATTCCTGTGCATCCCACTCCCTCCAACTGCTTCCAGCAAAGGCTGCAATGTCTGTGCCTGTGTGTGAGTGTGTATCTACACTTAAAGGTTGTCCTTGTGCTCCTTTCCTGGTCTTTGCAGACACAACCAGCACAGATACCAAGCAATGCTGTTCTGACAGATTTTGATGATTTTGAGGTCTGTTACCTGCTGTCTCAGAATGTCAAAATTTCCCGGGGGAGGCTACAAAGTGGCAGCACTGGAAAATCCTTAAGATGAAAATGAAATATTGTGTTTTCTGCACAAGTCTGAATGCATTTCACAACACATGCATGATGGAGAGGTGAAATCCTGCTCCCTTGAAGAAGGAACGTGGGCTTGATGATGCCAACAGGGCAAACGTTTGGGTCCCATTGAACTGCAGCCAGTGGTAGTTCAGTGCTTTTCTGAGGACAAACATCAGTCTTGTAGGTCATGTAGTGGTGGTGGAATAAAGAATAGGATCTCTAGCTCTTCCAAACTACATCCTGAGACTACAAGGAAGGGATTTATCTTACCTGATTCTCTATTAAAAAAAAAAAAAAAAGTTCAACTGAGTCACCAGAATATTTATGGTTGTTTACAGAGAGTAAAACTGCTATTGATGTCAATCTGAATTGGGCCTGTACTGGAAGTAATTTGGAATGGAAAGTCTACATTTGCTTCTGGAAGAGCCTAAATTTAGTTTTCAGGCCAATACTTCTACGTGAGATAAGCCTCTTTTGAAGGGAACTCAGATCAGAACTGATGGGAGCAGAATACCTTAAATCTTCTGGAAATATTATCTTATATCTGGGGTCATCTCAGATGTCTAGTGGTCTTTGAAAACTGAGCTCTGAGCTCCTGTTCTTTCTGCTTTTATTTGTTTCTTCAAAATGTCTGGTTTTATGGGTGGGATTAAGGCACAGCATTTGAGAGAGGCTAAAGATTTATGAGCAGCTATGAAAAAGTTATGGACCACAGTGTTCTTGAGTTGGGGGGAGGCTACATTTAATGTTTCTACTTTTGAGCTTGTGATCATGTGCAAGTTCATTCAGAATGCCACAAATGAGAGTGTCAGTTTATAAGTCACCAAGCTGTGCAGTCAATTAATTGCTGATTAACTTCCACTGGCTGCCAAACAGAGTCTGGGAGCTGAAGATAAAAAAATTGGAAGTCACTTTTGCTGATTTTCCTGTATTAAGGGTTTGTGTTGTGGTAGCAAACTGCTGAGCACTACATCTCAAAAATACCACTGTTTGAGGAATTATTGATAATTGTTTAGTATGCTTAGTACCCCACAAAAAAAAAAAGTACAGATATTGTCACCTGCAGATGACACAAAGATAAGAAGCGTAAGTGGTGCCAGAAAAAAACCCTAAAGCAGCATTTTCAGTGAGGAGCACGAGTAGGATATCTACTGTCTCCTGGAGGATTTCATCCAGAAGCTACTTTGTCTTGCACATGGGAGGTTCTTAGGGAAAGCAACCAGCGTATTTAAATCACTTTATTGCCAGAGGACAAAGACAGACAGCACAGCAGTACAATGACAAATAGCCTTCATTTTAAAGGAGGGTGTTGGCTAAATTAAAAAAGGTTCCTGTGTGTAGTGTCTCTGTTTAGGGTGGGAGCTGTGCCAGAGCAGCAGTCTCAGCCTGTGGTTGCACTGAGGTGAAGGTGCTGCTGGGCTTTGCCACCACCCACGCTGGGTGCCCTCAGTGGCATCTGCAGGGAAACACAGAGCTGGGACACGTTTGGTCAGGGAGAGAAACACAAGGTTGGCTCAAGAGGCAAAACAATGTAAACACTGAATATGAAGGGAGAAATGTGCAGCAAAACTGACATCCTAAGAATTTTGGTCCTAAGTGAGTTGTTTGTTCATCCCACAATTCAAACCTGGCTGTGCAGCAAAGCAAGCCAAAGAAAGTTTCCTTTATTGTTTCCATGATGCCTACTCATCTAAAAGCCATCTCCCTTTTAGATTATTCTATTTCTAATGAATAATTCCCATCTGTTCTTTGATCTTATACCACATAAGACATTTAGCTAATAACATCATCCATCAAATACCAACTTGTCTTTAGAGTTCAAACACAATTGACACAGAGCCCTGTCCATCTGCTGGCCAGAACAGATCCAGCTTATGAATGGCCAGCTATGTTGCCTATTTTTTAATTAACCAGCTTAGGTCTGTCCTTCACACAATCCTGCAGGATGACTAGGGGGCACTCCACAGGGAAGTGAAACACCCTTCTCTGCAGGGAAGAGGGTTTGGTGCATCCAGAACTGTGATGTGTTGTAAGTGATGTTTTCCAGTGGATGGAGACTGCCTTCAGCCTCTCAGAACTTTTTAAAAATTTTTTTCCTATTTTTTTTTCATTTTTTTGCATACACCCATAATATTTTATGAAATATTTTAAGGATAACTTCTTTCAAACTTGGCCTTCGTCAGAGAAAGGTGTCGTCAGAGAAAGGTGTGTAAAGTAGAAAGACAATGTTTTCTTCTCTGAGTAAAATTCTGAATTTATTTGACAGAAACTTCAGCAGGGGAATTGCAGATTTACAGAGAAGTATTTATATAGAAAATGCTTGCCTGCTTACCCAACTGAAGAGCCAGGGAATGTCAGATGATTTAGTTGACCAATTGTGGTGAAGCAGCATATCTTGAATTAAGGATATCTGAGATCAATCACAGTTTAAAAAAGCCTAAGAAAAACTGGTCAGAAAAAAAAGGAGATTAATGAGTAATCCAGGGAGCAGGTAGTTTTTCTATGGATATTTTCCAAGTGCAAACAGTTATCAAATTCTTTAAATCATTACTGTCAGATTTTTCACTTTGCTCCATTACCTTGCTTCTCAGTGGTTTGCTTTATCTTGCACATGGTCCATTTGTTTAGGAAGGAATTTGATTCAGGATTTATATTCCACTGGTTTACACATGCCACAGCGTCCTTATCTCCAGATCTGAAACAATAACAGCAATTAAAACAGCGCCTACATTTCCTTCTATTTCCTGGCTTGCCAGTAATAAGAAGTCCCTGCAGAGGGAAGCTTGGCTGGTGGTGTTTTGTGATTTCTCAGATAACAAGAGCTTCACATTTCTGTGGAATTCCCATTTGCCAGCGAGCTGCTGCTGCTGCTGCCCTGATTGATATATGACTGCAATGGCACTTTTCCATTTGACATTCCCCCTCTCTCCCTCTCTCTCCCTCTCTCCCTTAAACAACAGCCCTAACTTTTGTGTGTTGCAAATATAAAAGACAAGCCATGTGACGGGGGGGACAGAGGAACAAAAGCATTTGGAAGTAACAGGACCTCTTTCAGCTCTCCAAAGGGTTTGAGGGAAGGAAGGAGTGGTGCATTTTCCAAAGGTAAGCATGCAAATAAGAGATTCCTACAGATTTTGAGTGTTACACGGACTTAAACGGTGTGCTTAATCTCTTTATCTGACATGTTCTCCTTGTACTGTTTTTTTTAAATTAAACTGTGTTTAAATGGAATCAGCACAGCTCTAGTCCCTGTGTCTCCTTATTCTTGTGTCCTTATCTGAAGGTTGCCTTTATGTGGTCAAATAGGTGGCCCAGGGTGCTTCTGAGCAACTTGGTTAAACACCTATTCTTGCGAGCATGCTGAGCTCCGGTCTGCAGCTCAGTGCTGGCCATAGCTTGTGGCTCGGGACTGAGTGGACATGCTGGTCTCAGCCCTGAATTCCCCGAGAGAGCTCTGGTATGGCCAGCACCCCCTTTGTGCCCCTGCAACAGGGCTCTGCGAGCACGGGCAAGCCTGCTGCTTTAAAGCTGGACTGTTTACTTCTGTCACTACTTACGCCTGCTGTTCTCTTGCCAGTCATCCTCTGGAGCGCTCAGAATAATCTGAAACAACAGGCGATATTTATTTCTAACTTTGCGTCTCACGCTTCGCGGGAGCACTCGTAACTCGCACATTATTATTTATCCAAACTTCCGCAAGGCTTTCCAATGGACTGGTTGAGGACCAGGACAGATTTAGCACGCACTCTTCATGGGCTGGGAGCCGTGAGGAGAGCCCCGGGGTGCTTTGAGGGGTGTATCTGGGGGGTGGCACGGAGCGCTGCTGACACCGGAGGATGCTGCGCGACCCCGGACCGCCCGCTGAAGGAGAGAGGGAGGCTCTCCTCCGCTCCCGGCAGATCATTTCCCTGTGTGTCAGCGCCAGAGGCACGAGCATGACTGCTCTCTGTTTCCCTGGGACGAAGGAAGAGCTCCGCTGCCGTGGCCGGGTGTCAGGGTAGGGTGGCTGCGGGCTCGGGAGCGGACACTGCCCGGAGGAGCGAACTCCCGGCCGGGACCAGGTGAGTGAACGCATCTGTAAAACTTCAATGGGACCAGCAGCAGAGAGCAGAGTAACAAAGAAGACCAGTCTCAGGGCTGGGTTAGCTGCTGCTGCAGTGTCACACGCAGTGTGTACAGGGCGGGGGGAGATTTTCTTGTGACAAATCTGGATTTGCGAGGTGGGGTGTGTGTGCTCTGTGTGTGTGTGCACTGACTCTCGGGGGACTGCCAGGCAGATTTCTTATCCTGCCCTGCAAGTTCATTGAAATTTCTCTCATACCCTCCCTATAACACATCTTACTTGTTTCTGCCAGGGAGAGACAGCATGGCAAGTAACTCCTTAGGGTTTCTGCAGCTCTTTAGAGATTAAACAAATATTTTCTATATGCTACATGCTACTTACAGTTCCTAAAGTTTTATAACTGTGGCTGAGAGGAAGGAACTCTGCCTGTTGAAAAAGGACTGGCAAAAGGTTTTTTAAAACCAGTAATAGGACAAATTCACTTGAAGGCAAATGATTATTTAAAACCAACAGTGGGGACAAACTCACTTGAAATCTGTACTTTATTGCAAAGTTATTTTCTAATAGAAGCAATCCAGCTGCCTGGTGTGGCAGGCTGTGACAATCACAGTGCTGTTATTTGTTCCTCCTCTAAAGAATATAACTACATTTTAAGACCTGTACCTATTATCCCCACCGCCCCCCTCCCTTTTGAATTACTAATAATGCTCACTTTTGCTCTTGCTGTGGGACCTTACTCATATTTGTGAGTAATTATACACATGAATAATTTCCTGGACCTAAATAGAACTATTTGGTGAGTAACTACTTATCAGCTTGAATCAGGGATTCCCAATGTGACTTATATATACAGTGATATGCTCTTGCTGCTAATGAAATCTTATTTTGTATTCTAAAACAATGCTGTAAGATTTTCCAGTTAAAAACAAATGTGGAAGCAATAGGTATTTCAAGCTTACAAAGTAAAATTTGCAATTTGATTTAGGGACAGGGTATAATTAGGGGCTGCTGATGATTAGTTACAGGCTCATTTTGCTACCTGAGGGTGTCCCATGTAGGTTTCCTGGGTTTGTGCAGTGCCTGGTTTGGGCCAGATTAATGTGTGCTGATGCCTGGCCTTTGCAGAGCAGGATATTTGTTATGGACAGTCTTGGGTGCAGTTTGCAGTAGCAATACCCCAGGCAGCTCCTTTGGCATGACGGCTGATACCACAAAAGCCATCTTCCCCACTGGAAGCATCCCTCACTCACCTTTGAGGCTTGGTGGCATCTGCACATTCTTGCCTTCTTGCCTGGCCAGGGCTGCAGTCTCTCCTGCCCAGGTGGGAGGGAGATGAGCCACCTCCTTGGGAGCTCACACTGATGCCTGTGTTTGACAGGGAACCCTCCCGTGGTTGGCTTCATTTCCCATTTCTCCTGGGGCTGACTTTGCTCCCTTCCTGGCTTGTCAGCTCTCAGATGCACTAGGAAGTGCTCAGGATTGTCCTTGGAACTTGGAGAGAATTGACTATCTATGGTGAAAGCTTGCATGAAACCACTGAGACATTAATTTTTGCAACTTGTCTGGTGGATTGTTTGTTTAACTGAAAGAAAACAAAGTCCTCTCTTTCCCCCTCCCCACCTTCCAATCACTATTTTAATCACAATTATAAATATTTGATAGTTATATTTTAAGTATTCCAAATTTCTCTGTCTCATACTCCTGGAGAGACTTGTCCCTGTGAGTTTTAGAAAGGTTTTGCTACATGAGACTGTAGCCCCCTGTTATTTGAGCAATCCACCTCTGGAAGCCACATCAAAGAAAGACACCAAGTCCCTGTGGCAGCAGCTATGGAGTGACTTGCTGGGGCGAAGGATTTTTCCCTAACCCCATTCACTGAGCTCTCAGAGTCCTGAGGGTTTATAACCCTTCCAAAAACTCCTCAGAAATGAAACCCCTGTGACTGTAACCCCCCCATACACAACAGGCCCAGCTAAACTTTTGCCCTCTGTGATATCTTGTTCCCCCGGATCATTGTCGCTTGTGTAAACACGTGTTTCTTTTCATCAGTGTTAAGTGTTCTGCCTCTCAGCTCCCCTGCCCTTCTCCATGTCCTGGTATCTCAGGATGGGGTGAATAGCCATGTCCAGATCACCTTTTTTTCTGCTGCCTGACTTCACACTTGACAGTCCTTTTGCTGAAACTCAACTCAGTGGCAGGAGAATGGATTAGTAGGGTCAGGTTAGCTCAGGTGTCTGAGCCAAGAGAAACCCCATTTTGACTATGCTTCTGTGCATATAAAGAGAAGTTGCAGTCTCTGCTGGCTGTGATCAGCTGTTATTTCCTTTTTATATGTGTCAGTGTGGAACATATTAAAATTTCTCAGTAGTGGTATGTTAGGAATCCCTCTGATGCCCCACCTCTAACTTAGCAGAACAATAAAAGCAAGGTTGTAGTAAGCCTTTGAGCAGCTGGTCGTCTATATATTCCTCCTTTTCTCACATAATCTAATTCAAACTATTATCTGGGTAGCAGTGGCACTACCACTTCCAGACACCATCAGTCCTTGTCCTGTTTGCTGGAATTTCATTGTGTGGTATGGAGATCCTTTCAACTAGAGTGTAGCTTCTCTTCTGGTGTGAGAGCAGGGGGCTGCTGGTGCCATGGAGACACTGGTCCCAGGAATTCCTCCTCCTCATTGCTATTTTTCAGCTTCTCTTTGTTATTTTTCTAGCGGCATCAATCATTTTTACGGCTCACGCTTGTCACATTTTCGTGCTTGTTATTACTGAGCTGCAGACTGTGTCGGGCCGAGGCAGCACAGGTTACGTTGCCCTTTAAGACATGTTGGTTGAGGATCTGAGTTAATGCCTCAGCTCTGGTTTGGCAAAGGTTAAGCATACCATGGCAGTGACAATCACATTGCTGTCATAGCAGCACGGCTCAAAGGGAGTGGGACCTAGGGGAAAGCTGCTCCCCTTGTTAGAAGACACAGAATTGTTACCATGAGCCAAATATTTAGGTTCCCTAATTATCAGAGGATGAGGTATATGGATGGTGGCCTGAATGTTGCCTGTGTATAAAAGAGGAAAGGATTTTGCCCCTGGGGTCAGAAGAGAGGGAACATCCCCTTCAATCATGTGCTGTCTCCAGCATGCATAACACTCTCTGCTGGTCCCATTGGCAGGGATGTGTTTGCTTAATGTTAAAGAATAAAAAGACCCATTCCTACTCCTGCATCTATTGATAACTACAGGCCTCTGAGTTCACTGGAAAAGACAGAGAACAAAAACTGCCCACCTGCTTGTAACAAACTCCAACAGGTAGAGGACACATGCCTGAACGCCCTAGACCTCTCAGCAACTTGTAATTTGGCCAAGAGTAATTTTGCCTCCTGTTGGGTCATAAGACTGAAGTAGAGGTAATTACTGAAGCAAATCCTATAGCTAATGCTTGGCTGGGAACACTTGCAGTGTAGCCAGCAGCCACCCTTGCTGGTTTGCCTCCTGAGAGGGATAGGCAGCCCTAGACTGCTCAGCTCTGCACCTGGTGCTTCACCAAGGAGTAATCCCATCCAGCACCCTCTGGATGGATGACCAAGTGGAAAATTGTATTCCTCTGCTGTCTGAGACTCGAGACCATGACTACTCTGCTATTCAGTGAGGCACAAGAATAAGGAAAGAATCCAAGGCTGGCATCACCTCACCATTAAAAGGCTCTACTCCCTCATTAGAGAGATATCCCATGCATGCCCCTAATCAATCTATTTAAAGCTTCCTGGAAGCAGGAAAAGGAAAGAATAAAAATACAAGCACTCTTTTGTCCCCCAGCAGTTATTCTTTGGGAGTGCATTAAACCCTTTTCTCCGTGCTGGCTGTGCCTGTCTGCTGGCCGGGCGCCAGCCTGCAGTACCCACTGGAGTTTGTTATTTCAACTGCTGAGCAGGAAGGCACCTCCTGTTCCCCCTCTCCTAGTACCTGAAAGGCTGGAAATGTTCTTGGGAACTTCAAAAGCAGAGGGAAGTTCAGGCAGCTCAAGTGCCATTCAGCTGGATTTCTTCCACCTCATGCACCAGGTCCCCATGGCAGGAATATTTTTGGGGCCTTAAATGAGCCCAGGGAACCAGTCCCATGTGTGCTCATCCCACGTGTGCTGAGGCTCCCAGGGTGCTTCCATTATGTTTGCTGTAATTACCATGTTGCTTCTTATGCTTCACATACCATGGTCTTCCTATTTTTTTATTTTTTCTGTCTCCTGTCAGTCACAGGCATTCATCTCCTGAAATATTAAGACTTAAGGAAATTTCATAGTAAAAAATGGTTTCCAGGAGTTTTTCTCATCACAGCTTTAGCAGGACCAGAAGATGGACTTCTCTACCATGGACAACCATATAAAGAGGTTTAAATTTCCTTCTTTCAAGCCTGTGTTCCTTCTTGCTGCCTTTTTCCTTCCCCTCTCCTCTTGCCCACCAGCTGCTGCCAGCTCTGGCCAGGACCGTGTGTTGTTTGTGTAGCTTCTGTGCAGGCACACACTGCCCTGCTGTGTGATGCGTGGATGGAACTCCTGGACCATGGATGAAGACATTCCCCTTGGCATGGAAGAGGACAAGCTCCAGCACAGCTGGATGTCAGGAGAGCAAAACCTCTTAAGCACAACGAGACCTTGGGGAAACATTCACTTATTTAGAGCTGTAAGGGTCTCACTCAGTATTTGGTTTGGTATTTGCCTTGCCTCAGGATGGGAAGAAACCTGTTCAAATGTTATGTGGAGGTATTTCTCAGACAACTGGGGTTGCCTGTGCTCACCTGCTGCTGTCTGGCCACTCCGTGGCTCTGTCAGGTGTTTTGACAGGCAGCTGCAGAGTGAAGTGAGGATTTTTGATAGCATGCACAGGAGACCAGCTCCTACACTGCTGGCACAGAAATGACCACAGTAAAACAGCTAGATAAGAAGATGATCACATTTACAGAGCTAAAAGCTGGAACTGACAAAGGCTCTGAGGTGGTTCTACAGAAAGCAGGGTCAGACACAGCCTCTCATCTGCCTCTCCTACTCCATGAACTGTTTTTTGGAATGGCTCAGATTGTCACTGATTCAGTCCCCAGTGCTTCCCAAGCTGTTCCCAGGCATGGTGTGGATGGCTGCGTGGGCTGGGAGCCACCAGAGTGCTGTGGGTGCTGAAGGATCTTTGGGAACAGACCACGCTGCCTTTGTCATGGAGAATTCAACCCTACAGAACAAACCCTTGGGGAGCCTGACTGAGTAATTTGCCCATCACAGTTGTTTCCAGTCCAATCAAGACCTTGGAGAGTGAAGTTCCAAAATCCTTATCTTCCTGGAAAATCAAAACTTTTTAAAATTTGATAAAATTCTTGAGAAATCCATTTTTGTCTCATGAAGAACTTTGTGGAGCCTTTTTTCTCAGAACAGCAGCAGTGAATTGACACACACGCACATATATGTACATACGTGGTTAGTGACACTTTTTTAGGTCTGGAGTTTGGAGAAACTGAATAGTCTTGCAACTCTTCTGTTTACATAACAAATTCAGATTGAGGGAACCACATGGTAGGATCCAAGTAATTGTGTTTACTAAATGTGCACAGCATGCAAGGCCAGGCTTAAGTTATATACACACACTGCTGCTTCAACGGGATTTTGGCAGCCTCCAAAACACAAAAAGCATTAAGTGACTTAAATGGCACCCTCATCTTCAAGCAGGAGTCTCAAACACAGAAAATGCCCAGCAAATGAAGGCCAAGCTGAACACATATGCATGCCTAATATAAAATTTGAGAAAGTTCTTGAGAAATCCATTTTTGTCTCATGAAGAACTTTGTGGAGCCTTTTTTCTCAGAACAGCAGTGAATTGACACACATGCACATATATATACATACGTGGTTAGTGACACTTTTTTAGGTCTGGAGTTTGGAGAAACTGAATAGTCTTGCAACTCTTCTGTTTACATAACAAATTCAGATTGAGGGAACCACATGGTAGGATCCAAGTAATTGTGTTTACTAAATGTGCACAGCATGCAAGGCCAGGCTTAAGTTATATACACACACTGCTGCTTCAACGGGATTTTGGCAGCCTCCAAAACACAAAAAGCATTAAGTGACTTAAATGGCACCCTCATCTTCAAGCAGGAGTCTCAAACACAGAAAATGCCCAGCAAATGAAGGCCAAGCTGAACACATATGCATGCCTAATATGGGGGGCTCAGGGAACTAACTAGAAGTACACCATAAATGAGCTTTCCCACTGCTCCCTTCCCACCTCCCAGGGTAAAAACTGTGCAGATCCAATAGACCTAGGGAGAATTGCTCAGCTCTTTATTTTTTCCAAGACACATAGCAAAAAGGGAATTTCTGTTTACGTTCTCACAAAGTGACTGGTTAAATAATTCCAGATGATGGAATGTTCTTCTGTCCTCAAAGCAAAACAAAACCTTAGCCTTCACCACTCTCCAAATGATATTAAAACTATGATAAGAAATCATTATTATTCAGAAAGCAGTTAATGAGAGCGTGGATTTGGAAAAATAACCCTAACTTTGCACCCATGTCCATATGCAATGCAGTCTTAGACTGTTGTTAATACAGTTTTTCTTTGTGATGTCTTCTATTTTTCCATGAAGTTTTTAGGCTACCAGCTGTAGCAGTTTTAGGTAACAGCTGTAACAAGCCTTAGTGTGTTATGTCTCTATGAAATCCTGAAAACTAGGTATATGGAAAGGAAACGAAGCCATTGCTAACAAAATGTACTTCCCATATCCCAGTGAATTCTGAAAAAAAATGTGAAGTAGTGATTTTCATCCACTATTAGGCCATATATTTTTGTAGCAAATTTGCAGCCTGAGGATATAAAGTTACATTTGCATCTTTTTCTTTACAGGATGGTGTAAAGTGGGAGGGTTTAGGTTTCCTTTTGGTTAGCTTGGCAGACGAGCTATCTACCACAGGTTTTGCATGGAAAGAAAGTGAGGAAAAAACAGCTGAAATAGAAGAAAATCTGCTCCATGAATTTGCTGATTTTAATAAAAAAGGATATTTTCCAAATGAAACAAAATGTCATTGTAATGATGATTTATGAGCACTTGCTTCTGTTCTTTGGACAGAAGTATAGACTGGAAACTGCTTATGCCAATCCTGATAGCATGTGCTATCTAGGATTTTATAATTTCGGATACCATTTCAAAAGGAATGCAATTTTTAACTTAAAGAAATAATAATAATGCTAAGTTCAAGTGAAATGCCATTGCTCAATATCAGCTGGAAATGGAAAATATCATGCCAACGTACTTCATCATGGTGATGTACCTAAGTGAAAATATTTTGATTTTTTTTAACAGAATCAAAAATCTACACCTTAACTTCCATGTGTTCAATATTACTTTTCCTTCCATATATGTTATATATAGCATATGTGTTTGAAAAATGTATGTGCCTGCTTCCCATAGTTATGTCAGAAGATACACCTACACATTTCACCAGTATGTCTATAAACAACTGTAACCACTTATTTCACAAGAGATGGATCACACTTACAATGATTTTCTCTCTTTTTTCTTACAAATATGTGATACTTTTTACTTATTTCAAAGTATTGTTACCAAAACCTGCTACATTTCTTTCTTTGTGAAGTATCAGGGCAATTTTAAAAGGCTGTGGAAGTGTTAATACTTTTTGTGCTGTGCTTATCCTGGGGAAGGTACAGCCATGTTGCTTTTCTCACACTTTTCCCTGTGTCTTTCCAGCTTTCTCAGAGACTTTTCATGAGGCAGACTCTGTGTCATCCAATTATTTCCTGAAGAAAACTAGGCAGATAAGGCTTTGAAAACTGAGCCAGGACTTCAGATTTCTCTCACTGTATTAAATCACACTGATCAAAACCATGGAAAGATATAGAAGCACAGAATTAACAGTGGGACAGAGAGAATGGGAAATGGGGATCCCTGGGTGTAGTATCACATGAAATGAGACCGTCTAATATCAAGTAAATTTATTTGGACAGAGAGGGAATTACTGGGTGTGTAATAATGATTAACTATGTTGGAGGGAGACCTTGCCAAGCAGCATGTTTTGGTCAGCCTCTTTATAAAAAAGAATAGGAATGTAGGTAAAAGGTTAAACATGGAGAAAAAAATAGTGCATCCCTCCTCCCGTTAGCTAATCCTTGGGCATCATCTGCATGAACTGGAGTAGCAGAGTTCACTTCGGGGAGGGAGTCTGTCCCAGCTCCCATGACCCAGAGATTTCTCTCCTATGCTGCTGAAATGTTTGGAGGGGTATTTATTGACACGAATGAGACTGTGCATAATTGTATCTGAGATCCTAAGTGTTTAGTGTTGTTTGTTTAAGTTCTTTATACTGCAAAGCCATAGTATGTTTTTAATGCAGCATTTGCTGAGGAAAATATACCAGGTCATGTGTCAGACTCTGGGAGAAAAAATATATTGTCATTTAAATCCACAGTCACATAATTTTTCCTTTCCTGCTTAAGCACATGGATAATAGCCTGAAACAACAACAACAAAAATGTCTAATACACAGAGCATCTTTGTCTCTCTAACACGGAGAGCATCCCTAATAACATTTCTTCCCAGCATGAGACTTTGGCTGTCACATCAGCGCCATCCCAACTTGGATGAACTCTGGAAGTGTTTGTCACTCCTCTCACAGAAGTGGTGGAGGAGGTTATAAAGCAATATACAAATCATCAAGCACTCTGGTGGGGAGGCTGTTTGGGAGATGAGTATCAGTCAGTTTAGAGGACTGCCAGCAAACCAGAAAACAATTTTGAAAGAGGCTTGTATAAGGCAGTAAATGCACACATCAGCTCTTTAAATACTCAAGAGGCTCTGCCAGAGCATTTCTTTGTGAGTAGAGAACTGTTTTATCTTAAGTTTCTTCCGAAAGTCTTTGCACTTTTAACTGTACTGATGAGTATCCTTTGACTAGCCTTCATCGGGCTGTGTTTAGATGGATAATTCACAGCTCTTTCAAGTTATATCTGTTTGTAGTAAAAGTGAAATTAATCACCCAGTTGGGACTACGGGTTTGTGAGAAGGATCAAGGGACTGTGAAGAAGCAGCTGATGGAGATACTCTCCTTCCCCTGCAGGCACAAAGCTCTGGGCAACGTTTCAGGGGCTGTCCTGTACCTCTTTCCTGGAGAATCTCCTGATCTCCAACATGAAACTGAAATCCAGACGTCTGGGTAGATAACCATATGTCTCCACCTGAACATATTTCTTCCCAACAGATAGCTGGGATAGTACTTGGATATTATGGAATAATAAATGTATTTTTCAGATGCTGCTCTTTAATTAGTTGGGAAGACACTGACACCCAGAAAGTGCTGCCTGACAAGTAAGCAAACAAAGCCTGGATGTGTGTGCATGGGAATTTGGTACTCAAAGGTCAGGACAGTTCAGCCAGAGGCCTGGGTGGTTCCTCATGCAGTGCAGGTCGCTGGGAGACCACTTTGCTCATGGCTTGGCTCAGACCTTCAGCATCCCTCCACCCTGGGGATGTCCCTTGTCCCTGCAGCTGCAGGGCACGGCCAGGCAGACTCCAGAGCCACAGCTCAACCTGCCTCCAGCCTCTCCATGTGCTGCCTGGGCCAGACATTCCCATCTGTAACGTGGAAGGCAGCCAAGCTTTGCCCTTCTTTGACACTTTGAGTGGGTACACAGTCCTTTCGATTTGCAGGAATTTCTGATGGATTTCATCACCAAGTGGAAAAGAATGGCTTGCACCACTTGTGATGTTGAAAGTCAAAAGTCATTTAATCTCTCTTTAATGATAGAACAATGCTAACAATAACAAAGCCTTGACATCTCCTTCCTTAAGGCCATATTCCCTACCTACTGTGGGAATGATGCTCACTATGAACAGGTTTTTTGGATAGCACAGGTCCTGAGTGCCTTAATACTATTTATGTCTATTTTCTCTAGAGGTGTTTTTGCTCAGGATTGTGATTTATGTTGCTTTCATTCCAGCTGTGCGGGAGATTCTTTGATGGATTACAATCTCATCAGACTCCAATTTGAGAAGAAGAATGACAGCTCGGACACTTAAACCAGACTTTTCACCATCCTGGAAAGGAACTGGCTTCCAGAATTTGGAGGGTTTTTGATGCTCTACCTCCCTCTGCTGTTACCAGCGAGAAGTTCCTCGACAATGGGAAATCATGTACTCGCAGCTTCGATTTCCATGCTCTCGCTGCTGGTGATGATGGGAGACACAGACAGTAAAACAGAGAGCTCCTTCCTGATCGACTCCGACCCCAGCCGCTGTATGAGGCACCACTACGTCGACTCCATCAGCCACCCTCTCTACAAGTGCAGCTCCAAGGTAAGGCTGTTAAAAATAGGTTAGAAACTCTTGTAAAATAGTTGGTAATTGTTAAGCATGTACTAGTTTGGTTGTTATATTGTAAAGGGGGTTAAAAGGTTAATTATAAGAAATGTGGTACTCAATGTAGCGTATTACACCTAAGTAAAGTGCAGCACCCCCAAGCAAAATGACCTAGCCTGTAATGGGCCAATCAAGCGCCTTAAACCGTCATTCAAATGAAGGATCCAAAAAGAAACCAATCCAAAGGGACAAAAAACAGGATAAAAAAGGGACAAAAAACAGGATAAAAAGGGGAAGCTGTGCTGTTCCACCTGGAACATCGGGGACATCGCTGCTGAGGCAGCCCCAGCGCCGGCACTGCAGCATCCTCGGCGGGATCGCTCCTGCTTGCCCCAAGGACCCCTTTGCTCTCGGGTTTCTGTGTTCAGGATGACCCTGAGAATCCCTTTTTCCCAGCCCGATGGTTGAAGAAAGAGTCGGGATTCTTCGGCTCTAGTTCACAAGGGTGTTTATTGTCTCTTATCTAAAATATTTTTTCTCAGACATGCAGAGGTCTGATCTGCAGGTCTGTCAAGGGAACACTGCCTGCCCCTGGACTGGTGTCTACATTTTGTACTATGAATTACGTGTATTTTACTTATCATTATTTTCCAATACCTATCACCTGTGTTAGACAGTCTGTCTCTAAACCAATCTAAAAGTGCCAGCATCAACCAGAACATGGAGGTTAGGAAGGAGAAAGAAGGACAGGGAATGCCCAAATTCCTCCATCTTGGGACCCCAAACCCCCACATTCTAAAAATCCCAAAAATTCTACTTTTCACCCTATGATAACTTATGCTACTTAAACTTTTGGGACTTGTAATTCTTCATACAAAGTTGGTAATTTGCTCCATGGGTCAAAATCAGTCACAGGTGCCTTTGGCTGCATGCCAGGGTTTCAGAGCTCCCTGCCAGGGGCTCGAGCCATCCAGGACAGTCAGAGAGACATCCTGGGTTCCAACACCTTGCTTTAGGCCTTTTTATTACAATAAATGCTGAAATCACTTTAGTACTGGGAGTTTAGTTCCGTTTTTAACAAGACTCCCCTCACCTCCTCACAGCTTCGAGAGAAGGGTTGTTAAAATGAGCTATTCTAGGTGATTTTCTCTATGTGAAGTCCTATCTACCAGAATGTAACAGCAGAGACATGCAGATGTGAAGATGTCTTGTGAGTACATAAGAACTGGGACTGGAGATGAAGGCTCTTGACTCACTTTTCAACTTTTCAAAAGGAGAAATTCAAGATGATGGTAAAGCTTATGTGCAGTAAGTTACAAGATTGAAAGGAGCACATTTGGGATCTCAGCTGCTGGCCCCAAGGAGATGAGCTAGTTTGGAAATTTAGATTACCCCAGTCAGCCCATCCTTCAAACAAATGTTTAATTTGGAGCAAGTTCATAGCTATTATAGGTGAAGTGCTGAGATAAAGAACCAAACTGTAAAATGGCAATTACAAAATGGTTGTGAAGAATACTGTTTATTTTCTCCCTGCCCACCCCCTTTTCAAAGCCTTTGTTTACATGCAGAATGACACTTGGATGGTAACTGTAGGGCTTAGGAGCAGACAGAAATACAAGATTGACTTTCATTTGGGATTTCAAGCCTGAAAAGTTTTGTGTCAAAGTGGTTTAGCAGCCTGTGCATGTAGCCTACAGCCATTTATTTCATTATGTGGAGAAAAAGAATTGGGAGAAACAATGAGAAAATCCTTGCTAGTCCCTTTTGTCATGTCCTAATTTGTTCTGTCTGAGTTAACACAGTCTGTACATTCAGATGACTGGGCCAGTTCTCTGTCCCATGGGAAGGGGCTTTGCCTCAGGCACTCACATCCCAGGATTAAGGAAGGGGAAGGACTGCCAGCTCCAGTGCTTTTGCCAGCCCTGTGTAGGGTGAGAGGGATGGAGGCTGGTGTGTGACAGGGTTCACCTCAAGAGGGGTGTCCCTGGTGGCAAACCCCAGCAGCAGGGATCTTGGAGGAATTTACAAGGAGAGGATCCAGAGCTGGGATGGATGCAGTGCTGGCTGCAGATACCTTTGTGTGCAGGAGTTCCCTTGTTTCCCACAACCATTGCAGGGGTGAGGGGATGCCACAGGTAGCTGCAGACCATAGAAGCTGAAATAAAGCGTAGAGAGAAGTGAAAGCACAGAAAATAAGACCTGCTGGGTGCTCTGTGCATGAATCCCAGCTACTGTCCTGGCCAAAATTCTGCAGCCAGGCTCATCCTGCTCAGCAGAGAGGGGCTGGCAGCCCCCCTCAAAATGGGGCACAGGGAGCCTGCTCTGCTCTAGGCTGCCTTACACTGCTCTCGTTTTGCAAACGATGCCTGATTCACAGCACTGGGAGCCCAGAGACTTTTGCCCTACTTCTTCTGAATCCAAACAGCAAAATCATCCATTACTTGAGATTCAGGAGCAGTCTTTTGATTTGCTTTTAGGCTAGACTAGAACTCCCTACCATCTGGGAGACACATGGCCTTAACACAGAGAACTGCAGACGTGCATCCCTTTGTGCAATATCGATTTTATTGCAGTTCACTTCAGCAAGAGGCAAAAGTGACAAAGTGTGGGTGTGTGGGTGGTTTTCATTTACAGGTATCTGTGTGCCACCAGTCCTCTCCTCTCTGAACCCTTCTGATCACCTGTTAGACCTCAGAAGAGGAGGGAGGGAGGGAGGGAGGGAGATTGACAATGCACTTTTTAGCTTCCCCAATGATAGAGAAAAGCAAAAAATAATGAGGCCTTTAGGAGTGGGGCTGATGGAAGTGAGAACACAGAAAGCATTGTAATGAAAACCATATCATTTCAAAAGCTTTGAGGAAAAAAGTTGTTGACATAAATATTAGCAATTCTGGCTGCAAAACTCAGTGATTCTTTTCAAATCAAGCCTTTAATGGAAATCATGTTTGAAAATATTATCACGTATTCTGGCTTCCCAAAGTCCACAACAGTTTCAAGAACACTTCTATAACAATACTGTGAATTGTATGGACTTTCTCATTAACTGGAAAATGAAAACAGTTTCCATACAAAGTAAAATAATTTCTTAGAAAACTCTCTTAATTCAAGCTTTTTTATGTTGTTTGGGTTTGGGGTTTTTTGTTTGTTTTGTTTTATTTTGTTTTGTTTTAAGGTCTTAGGTATCTGAATCATTCTAGTAGACATATGGCTTCTGTTCTGGATCTAGTAGTAAGTACAGAGAAATATTAGACATGCTAATTAAAATTAGATTCAATGTCTCTTTATATCTATACATTATGATAAAATGTAACCAGGACAAAAAAAGGAATGTTCTGTGAGAGCAGCTGTGGGAATTGTGGTACCTCTTTTTTCCACCAAGTTTCCATTGTGGAAGCTCGGAATGACAGTGTCAAGCAGAGACTTTGCCCTTTTTTGGGGTGATGGTTTCACTGAGATATCCTTTCTCACTCCATATGTTTTCCCTTTTGGTGCAGCGTAGAGTTACAGAAGTCAAAAGTGCCTTCAGAAATTGCAAGACATATTATGTTTGCTGTCTGTCCTGGTTGAAAAAGGATTATGTCCACTGTGGCTCTCTGTGGAGGCTGCCAATTGCACCCACATGGGAAGTAGATTTGTTAAACATCCAGCCAATATAATTTAATCATTAAAATCCCTTTTGCTCGTGGCCTCAGGCAGGCGATGAAAACAGTTTTCCAAATCCTTTGGAAACATAGTCTATTATAGTAACAAAAAGTAGAAAAGAGACACAAAAGGGGGATGGAAGAAGGTCATTAGTTTCAGAAAAGCTGTTTTCCTTTGTCTTCAGGGAAATGTTTGTATCAGCTCATGAGGTATTCCCTTTCCTGACTACATTGGATTTACCCTGACCTCTGTCATGGAGACTCACTGGTCTCCATCAATGTGCTGGGTTCCCTCACTGCTCCCAGAGCCTCCCAAATCCCAGTTTTGGCTGTCACAAGTGCTTCGTCCAGATGTGCCAGAAGTGTGCTACCACTGACAGTCTCAGACTAAAGAATCCAGCCCAGGGAGACACAGAGCAGATGAAAAAAGATTTAGCAGATGTTTGAAGACATTAACTCCTGAGGTAGCTCAGGAGATTTTCAGTAATGCCTGCTTGCAGCCAGGCCACGGGAACTGTGTGAAAATCTGTTCTCAGGCATCTCAGCCCATCCGCTTTTGGGCTTCAGCTTGTTGCTGGAGGCGCAGAAAAAAGGACTACAAACAACATTAATAACACACCAGTTCACAGCTTCTGGATTTCCAGAACACAGCTCAAATGATCAGAGTCAAATATTGCCTCAGATTCAGGTTGCTCTCTTTTGTACCTATGAGACCATTGACTTTAAATAATAATGATAATGATAACAATAATGATGATGATGATAATGATAATGATGATGAGAATGATAATAATATTCTTCCCTAGCTGCTCATAGACCCATGTGGTTCCCTTGCTGTAGGACACTGTGCTTCTGGATCCTTGCAAGGTGACATGCACAAACTCACATGCGCAGGGGCCAAGGGGAGCCAAGAGGTGTCAGGTTATAAAATACCCACATGTTTTTACTATATTTACACACCCACCCTATCATTGTGCAATGCATCATAGCATGACTAATTATTTAGGTGATAATCTCTATTGCACTATAGTACACGAAGCAATAAGCAGCCAGTGCAATTGATTAAAAGGCAAAGCTTTCAATGTACATGCTATTTTCAGCTCATCTGCACACCTACCAAAATCCACTGGTGCTGTTCTGGATTTATAAAGAGGAAGGTAAATTTTGGTTTGGACTTTAGGTAGCCCAGAAGGTTAGAAAGCTATGAATATGGGAAATTTGATATTTTTTTAGCCTGAAAGTTCAACTTGATAAACTTGGGTTTGTGGCATTGGTAAGAGTTTACACTGTCCTTCAAAAACAAGGAATAAAACCAACACGGTGTTATTCTACATGATATAAATACTGACCTTAATCTTACGGAAAACTAAGTAGCCAGCAAAATTGCAGATTAAAATCAGAGCCTTCACAAATTAAACCAAGTTTTTAAAGACAAGGTTTAGAAATTATAAATTGTAAATTATAAATTGTAAATACAGTGGCACATTGACTAAATATTGGCTGGGTTTGCATTAGGAAGCCAGCTGTTTTTATTGAGACAGAGATATTGGCACATCAGATAATTCTACCCTATAATTACTCTGGACAACTCCTCTCTAGTCCTGCCAGTTTCATGAGAGCATGATTTTTATTGGCATTTCTGAAAGTACCTGCAGATACAGGAGCAGACGTGCATCATAAAAAGTCTCAGGGTAACAGTACCAGAACCTGACTGATTTTTCCAGCTCCAGAAGCATCAACCACCAGAAGTCAGCCCCACCATACAGCAGTGTGTGCTGTCACATTTGGGCTGGAATCATAGAAATGATCACTTGGAAAGGACTGTAGGGACACTCTGAACCTCCCAAAAAGCAATTTCTGGCTGTTGTACATCTCCCTGCACTACTCCTGAGGAGATTTCATCTCTGTTGTCTCTGAAGCCTTCAAACAGTTGTCAGGTGCTGTTGGATTGCTCTTCATCCCCAAAATTTATTGATGATCTCCAAGGTCTGTTCCAACCTGATTGATTCTGTGATTCTGTGGTTCAGCCAAACATTTGGGAGAAGCCTGTGACAGGGAGTGCACAGCCTGGAGAACTGGTCAAAGCAGGAGACCTAACAAGAGCTGTCAAGATGCTGGGAAGGAAATTACTGGGTCAAATGTCCCAGTCTGCTCCTTTCCTTTGTAATACAGGCAGGATTAGATATCTGCATAGCTGGTACCTAATTAGATACCTTCACCAGCTGCCTGCCTGGGAAGTGAGGTTTGTTTAGCAAAGGGAAAAAAGTGGATCTTTATCTGTGAGTAATGGGGTGACAGCACTGCAGTGATTGTCCCTCTCATGTTCTCTGTACACTAAAGACTCTGCTATTAAGGAGCTTGGTGTAGCTGATGGGTCTAAAGCTCAGGTGTGACTCAAGAGTACACTGAAATTTCCCTCCCACCATGGTAGTACAAACAGCTGAAGTTAATCTATGTATGAATATGCAGTATCCAGGAAGGAGACCACAAATTTATGCTACAAATCTTAAAGGATGACACATTTGTCAGAAAGCAACAAAAGCCCATCTCTAACTAAGAAGCAAAATAGTACCAAGCACAGATCATCAGCTCATGAAGACACCTTCTTTGTGACCTGTGTTGACTGGAAGAGTAGTTGTTAATATATTAATACATTACTACATTTTCAAGCAAAACATTTAGCATGCAAGTATTCTTGCAAGAGTAATTTTTAAGCACTGTACAATGGATGATCAGAACATTTCCCATGGATACAGACAGTGCTGGCATTTCTACTTGATTTCAGGAATATTCTCCTTCTCTCTCTCTCTCTTTTATCTCATCTTTCCTTACAACTCTGACTAAAAAGAAAATTAAACATTTGATGTACCTGCTTGCATAACTTAGAGAATTGCAGCCAGTTGAGCTTATGTAATGAAAGAAGCCCCAAAAGTTTTAACACTTTAAAGTATTTGCTGTCACATTTGTAGTTGTTCTTTCATATTTTCTGGGAAAAAAAACATGAGATACATGTAGCATGGTTAAAATGTAATGTTCTCCCTTGGTTATAAGAAAGACTTTTACTGCCTAATTTAGATGATATAATAAGCAGATATTGAAGTTTATGTTGGTTAAGCAAAATTAGCAGACATGGATTTAATATTTCCGTCCCCATGAAAGTATAGGAGTCTGTTCAAACTTGTACAACACCCGTTATCAAGGTGGTAACAGCAGCTTCTAACACATCATTTGCTGAGCTTTAGAGGGTCCTTTCCAAGATTTATGTAGTGCTTAATGCTGCATCTCCTCTGCTCAGGGGGGTGTTGGGGAGTAGGTGACTGCTCAGGGACTCTCCTTCCTTAGAGCCTCCTGCTGTGCAAGTCAGGTCACAGCTTGCTGTGGTCACAACTCACATTTGAACTCAGAATAAGAAACCTGGAGCTGCACTCCAGGTTTTTTTGAAAATCTCACTAGAGAATCTTCATGTAAACCATTTCTACTTCTTTTACATTTTCACTGCTTTATGCCATGCAGTGCATTTTATACAGCTACAACTGATGCAATGATACATAGATACACATACAATTGCAAATACATGTGCAAGGTGATCTTTGTCAAAGGAATGAGCTAGAAACATACTTCTTTAAAGCAATAAACAGAGCATCTCCTTTATATTTCTACTTGACATGTTCATATATCTAAACTTGAGGCATGAAAATTTGTAGCAATTCATTTGGGGGGAGTCCCCAAAGGAGTCCCCTAAGCTGAGGGTTCGATGGTAGCAGCAGGCAGACAAGGAAACTCCACACGGCTTCTGAGGGTGCTGATTAGATGAGTGTTTATTGGGGGTCCCATCCCTGGGAACAGCATGGTTTCTGAGGAAAAAGGGAGGAAGGGGGAAGGAAGGAGAAAAGGGCCAAGAGAGGGTCTGGTCTCACTCACACAGCTTAACAGGGAGATTCAAAATCAGTGCAGAATAAGACTTGGGCCAATGGCATTACAGATACATGAAACTTCAGGGGAGGGTCACAGGCTTGGAATAAACCGCACATTTTCAAGGGGTGAGACAGAGCATACCATTTAACTAAAATGCAACACCACAACAACCAGTTGGTGTGTATACTCAGAACTGGTAAATACCCAACCAAAGAACCAGCCTGGCTGATGATTTAAGGGCTTGACTGCCACAGATCTGGAGTCAGCCAGTCACAGTGCCTGGAAACAGGGCTGGCAGTGATCATTTGGAGCCCTAAGGCCAGGCCAGGTCCTGCAGTCCTTGTTGGTGTCAATACCAGGGATTTCAGGGGGAGCTCTGCTTTTCCTCCTGCCCACCTTATCCCCTCCACTCCCTCAGACACACCCAGGGGCAAAGCAGCTGCAGGGCTAGGATGCAGTGACCAAACCCCAGCCAGGCCGCATGGCGGCTCCCACCTGCTGGTGCCAGCTGCGTGCTGGGGACACTTTTCCTAACCGCTGTGTTTTCCTTGGCAGATGGTGCTGCTGGCTCGCTGCGAAGGCCGCTGCAGCCAGACGTCACGCTCGGAGCCCATGGTTTCCTTCAGCGCGGTGCTGAAGCAGCCCTTCCGCTCCACCTGCCACTGCTGCCGGCCCCAGACCTCCAAGCTGAAGGCCATGAGGCTGCGGTGCTCGGGGGGCATGCGGCTCACGGCCACCTACCGCTACATCCTCTCCTGCCACTGCGAGGAGTGCAACTCCTAGGGACCAAGGGGCACGGCAGGCGGGGGACAAGGGGGTGCTGCTGCGGGGGAAGAGCCCCAAGAAACAATCCAAGGTCAGGCCGGTGCTCCCAGCACAGGATTGCGGCGAGGACAGGACTAACCAGGCCGGATTGAATCTGAGAGCAGAAGTACAAAATATCCTGGGTTGCTGGATGGTGCTGGTACCGCAGTGTGGGCTGTGATAAAGGCAAAAGCATGAGGACTTGTTTTTAAGAAGCCTTTCTTTTTTTCTGAAAGGATATTTTTGAGAGTTTCTTCTTTTTCAGACTCAGCTCTGACTACAGAGAGGTGCTTTTACTCTAGGCCATGGGCAGCAGGGGAACAGAGAACAAGGTCAGCCAGATGACAGCACTGCAGTCTGGAAAGTGACATTTGGACAGAGGATGGGCATCAGTTCCCACAGACAACCTCTTAACCTATCAATTTATTCTCAGTTTTCTAGTTATACTGGCCTTCAAAGCAATCTGTGCTGTTGGCAAGGGTCATCTGTTACTGACCTAGTGGCCAAATGCTGGATAACTTCAACTGTGGTTTAGCAGAAATTACAAATAAACCATTGAAAAGTGAACTGGATATGAAATGCCATGCTTGGAATACCCAGCCTAGCTGAAACAATTATTTGCACCATGTGTCATCAGAGTTCAGTGGCTGAGCAACTCTTGGGAAGGGAAAGGTCATGAGACTCACGATTCCCTTCTAAAAGTCAGGAAATGTGACACATCACATCTGTCAAAAAAGCCATTATTCAAAGCTAAAGAACTAATCAAATATTAAAATGCCACATACCAGATGGAGTAATTTCTTAATTTAAGTAGACCTGTTGATGTACAGAATCAGAGTCACCACAATGATGATTAAACCTAGGACTTATTTTCATCTGTAGCTCTTAGGCCATTGAGCGAATACAATTTTGCATTTTAAAGACAGGCAATCCCCAAATTCTAAATCTCAAAACAACAGGGGATCTAAAGTTTGGGAATGGTATTTGGTATTTGCTGAGGAACTCTGTCCCTCCTCCATCAATATGAGGTTTTAGGAAGGTTCAGTCACAATCTATTGTGACTTCAAGGGAACAACATAACTTTTCTTATGTTAAAATTCTCATGTTCTTAAATGGCAACATATGCAGTCAGCCAGCAGCATGTCTGTGCTGTTCACAGAAACCTGGCTGAGCCATTGTTTTGGCAGAGTCATGAGGGTGCTGAGAGCATCTTTGCTGTGTAAGGATTCAGGACCAGCACCACCCGTGAGCACAGTCCTACAGTGATGGTCTGGGATAGGCTGCATTGGCTCCCATGCACAGCAGAGTCTGGCAGGGTCCCATGGAAGGAGGGGAAGTCCTTTCCAAGAGCAGAGTTCAGCTCATCTGTTCTACTCCACCCAGTTTATTTGCAGCAGGTGCCACGCACAGCAGCTCGAGGACACACACGGCTGTGTGTGACAGGGAATCCCCAGGGAGCTCAGAAACGGGTTTCTGTGGCTGCTCAGCCAAAGCCTAATTCCTCTGCCTCTGCCTCCTCCTGGTGAATGTGTGTGGGATGTGAATGCAGAGGTGACAGATGGTGGCCTTGCAAGCCAAACCCTGGAGGAGGATGGCAGTCGGCAGTGGAATAGACATGGTGAGAGCACAGACACCATTCAGAGAGGTTTGTGGTACATGGGAAGAACTCTGTCTTCTGGAGGTGACTTGGAGATGGTCAGTTTTCAAAGACACAGAGCTGTGGGCAAACTAAAGGGTGAATCCAACCCCCAGAAGCTGAGGGGCTGAGACTGAAATGTCAGAACTGGGAGTGATGAGCCCCAGTGAGCTCATTAGACACCATGTGTTGTCCCAGGACCGTCAGTCATTCCTTTCACATCTGATACATGGTCTGAACATCAAAGGGCCAGTCCAGGGACCGTGAGCTGGGCATTATCACCAGACTACTTTATACAAAAGATCATATGTGCATCCCTATTCCACTCTCTTTCAACCTCCAGCATCTGAAGATCTCATTATCCAAAAAAGCACCACCCCCTACTGTTAATTATATATAGCAAATTCCAGTCCTCATTCAAAACGTCAGCAATACCTTTGACAGCCAAATAACTACACTGCAAAATATGCATGACCTCTAAGTGTGCTCACAGACACTGCTGCACACCAGCAGTACTATGCAGCTATCTAAGGAAGGGGAATGTTTGAGGGATAATTGCTATATCCAGCATCAACACCCCTCAGGCTGTGCTGCCACTGGTCTCCTTTGCCAGTGAAAAATGGGGGGGTTGGGACACAAAATCTGGGTGCTGCAAGTGCCTAAAAGTTCTGGCAGAACAGCAGGGCACTGATGGAGGTCCTCAGGTAAGAAGAGACAGCAGGGTTGAGCAGAGACCATGCCTGAGGCAATTTAGCAAAAAAGAGAGTATCTATAGTGAGAGGAGAGCTTGGCTGGTATTTATACGCACACCCCCCTCACTAACACAGACCCAGAACTGTAACTGCTCAAATCAGCCTCACAAAAGAAATTTCAACAAAACCTCTTTTTCTCCTCTCCCCCCAACCCCTTCCTTCCACTTTTGCTTGGTTCCTCTGATGAAATCATCACCTTGTGACCTTAAGGGCTGTTGCCAAGCATAAATGCCAAAGTGAATTCAACATTATCTAATTGAACTGTTGAGTCCAAAAAATGCACGGAAGGAGTATAACAGAACTTATAAATGGCAAAACAAAACAGTTGTAAATATCTACAACTTAATATTAAACAAGGAATCAAACTTCCAAATTATTTTGGCTTTGTCAGACAATCCTCATACTAACATTTAAGAAAAGGTGAGGATATTCTTCATAACCAAATTTCCCAAAGTCAGTTATAAATCCATATTTATATTTTATTTTTTACTTTTTTAATCAGTATTTTAGGAAACTCAGTTCTGAATGATCTACATAAGTGCCACTTATGGTAAATTCAGATGGTGTATTGAAGCAAACAAAAATGAGGCTTCAGGTAAAAACTACAGCATTTAGCTCATGGTGAGAAAGAGTCTAAATGGTGCTTGGAGATGAGCTGACTTCCTGATTTATTGGTCAGACACCACTCTGGATACTAATGCTCTATTTTTCAAGTCAGACTACCGTGTAAGTGCTTCTTAAATTGAACAACAATTTAACGGGAGGACAATGCCCAGCTTTCCAGATAATGTGGGGCTTGTTCTTTGCTGGAGAATCTTCTTGCTAGGATTTGAATGAGAAGGCTTTGTCCCTTTTCCCTCTCACTGCACCTCACCATTCAGGCACCATCTTCCCCCATAGAAAGGTTGGTTGAGCTGTGATGACCCTGTGGCTTGCTCAGGATGAGGTGATACAGATTTCTGACTGTTACCTGCCTATGCCCTCCCCTCTTTTGATTAAGTTTCTGAAATGAACTTGGCTTATTTGTGAAAGTCAGCTGTCCTAGCAGTGTTGGGGTTCTGCTTCAGCTGGATTGGCTGCAGCCATGGTGTCTGTGAAAAGGGGGGATTTTCTCAAACCCTTAATATTTGATTGATCTATCAGTGCCCCAGGAAAGCCAAGACCCTTGCCACAAGTCTGTCAGTGTCCTGTTATAGAGACTCTTTTGAAACAGTCCTGCAGTGTCAGAGGATGGCTTGGCTGACTTGTTCAGGGTCACACAAAAACCTCCTTCTAGGTCTCCACACATTCACCCATTATCAGCACCCCTGAAGAACTCACATTAACAGTTTATGGAATAATATCTTATTAATAAAACAGTGACAGGTTAACGTTCAAGGATTGCAGGTGATTGTATCTGACATTCAAACAATATATTAATTCAAAGCAATACCCAAACAAGCTCCAGTCCCAGTAAAAGCCAACTCAAGATCATTCCACATACACAGAGTTCTTACCCAAGGAGCGGGGTTTCACCACAGTTGCTGATTCAACAGCAGGACATCTTTATCTCCTTCAGTTTTCAGGTGCTGTGTGGTTTATCAGAAAGTACCACCAAGTTTCCTCCTCTGTAAGGGTTTCAACAGAGCCCACCTGTAACATCTCCACTCCACTCCACTCCACTCCACTCCACTCCACTCCACTCCACTCCACTCCACTCCACTCCACTCCCTGTTTAGTCCCCCCAGATTGTGTGGGAATTTGGGAATGCTGACCATGTTCTATCCAGGGAGAAGGAGCTGTATTTTACCTTGTAATGTCTGTACCATTATCTTTTTATCATTTTCCCACACATGGAGACCAGAGGCAAACACCAGAGCTTTGGTGATGTCCTTTGCTTGTAAGAAAAGCCTTACAATGCCCCCACAGTTTGTGCCTATCAGAAACAATCTGTGATTTGCCAGAATAAAAGAGGCCATGATTATTTTGCTCCCAGTTTCAAAGCCACTATACTGGTTCAACCTTTGTAAGAATCATTAAATGGAATAACTCACTGCTTTCTTGGAGATATCCCCCCTGAAAACACCTCACCTTGCCTGCTGACCTTGAAGAATTTTGCCAAGAGTTCCTGAGCCTGGCTGTCTCTCAGTGGCCTTTATCAGAGCTTTTGTAAGTTACTGTCACAGGGCTCATGCAGAATAGGAGAGGTAAAACTCACTGACATCCATGGTACACCACAGTTTGTGGTGGGCTTTCATGTGAGCCTTAGCTTAAACCTGTTCACCAAACCCTTTCAGACCTACCACAAAGTCCTGAAGCTCAGGCAGAATGTCTTTGTGAAAGAGGAGGGAAATAAAAGAGGAGAGATCACTGTCCCATAGGAGCACTCCAATGCTCTGCTGCTCTGTGTCTAAACTCAGATCTTAGTCCCTGATGTGAGAAAAAGAGAAGCTCCTGAGTTCCCTCCTGTGAGTGAGTGTTTTTAAGTGTATAATTCTACTTTTTTAGTGACAGCAGCTTTGTACAGAAATTGCCTGAAGTAGGATTAAACCCTCTACAAAACCAGTTCTACTTAGCAGAGCATTTTCCCTAGGACTTGGGCCATAAATATTTTTGAAAAATCGAAATGCCATTAAATAAAGCAGACCTGAAGTAGGATTAAACCTTCTACAAAACACAGTTCTGCTTAGTACAGCATTTTCTCTAGGACTTGGGCCATAAATATTTTTGAAAAATCCAAATGCCATTAAAAAAAGCAGGTGTAAGGAGGCAGAGGGAGGGTGTGTCTTGCTTTCCTTGACTGTAATTATTTGAAAGGCAAGGAGCTGACAGCCTTCTAAGATAGATTACTTTATGGCTAACAGGTAATAAGATTGATATTCTTACAAAAGTCCAACAGGTTGATGGAAATGAGTAGCCCAGTTAAGTTTGCTGTGTTGCAAACTTGTGTACAAATAAGATTATTGGAAATCCACATTGTGAGTCTATTCATTTTATTTTGCAAGGAAAGGGTCACAATTTCTACTTACTGTTTAAAAGAGAGAGCCCAATCACCAGCAAACTGCAAACTATGTTAGCAAGCAGTCTAATGCACTGAAAATGGTTCCAACACAAAAAATAGTGGTTCTATACAGAAAAGATGCTTTGTGTATCAAGATAAGAAAATTTAGAGTTCATTAAGGAGAATAAGTAATCTTGTC